GAGACATTGGAGGGAGAGGGGCATATTAAAACTTGTACCAGCATTGAGACATCGGAGGGAGGGGGACATATTAAAACTTGTACCTGCATTGAGACATCGGAGGGAGGGGGACATATTAAAACTTGTACCTGCATTGAGACATCAGAAGGAGAGGGGCATATTAAAACTTGTACCTGCATTGAGACATCGGAGGGAGAGGGACATATTAAAACTTGTACCTGCATTGAGACATCGGAGGGAGAGGGGCATATTAAAACTTGTACCTGCATTGAGACATCGGAGGGAGAGGGACATATTAAAACTTGTACCTGCATTGAGACATCGGAGGGCGAGGGAGATATTAAAACTTGTACCTGCATTGAGACATCGGAGGGAGGGGGACATATTAAAACTTGTACCTGCATTGAGACATCGGAGGGCGAGGGACATATTAAAACTTGTACCTGCATTGAGACATCGGAGGGAGGGGGGCATATTGAAACTTGTACCTGCATTGAGACATCAGAGGGAGAGGGGCATTTTAAAACTTGTACCTGCATTGACACATCGGAGGGAGGGGGGCATATTAAAACTTGTACCTGCATTGAGACATCGGAGGGAGAGGGGCATATTAAAACTTGTACCTGCATTGACACATCGGAGGGAGAGGGGCATATTAAAACTTGTACCTGCATTAAGACATCGGAGGGAGGGGGACATATTAAAACTTGTACCTGCATTAAGATATGGGAGGGAGAAGGGCATATTAAAACATGTTCGAATCCTGCTCATTTGATTAATGATAATAGAAATAAATATTTATGAGAAATGGAATGTTTTATTAATGCAGTGGCCACCAAGTTCCCAGTTTGCAATTTCCATTTCGTTGAGTTATTCATCATGTTACAAAATATTGATTGCAACGAAAATTTATGTCCAAAACGGAAAAGAAAAAAAACTTTCATCAGAGAGTATTATAAAATTCTCTTTGTGTTTGAATCGATAGAGCAAAGACGCTCAAACTGCATTGATTTGCTTGGGAGGAGATTACGTAACCAAGCAACGACACAATGCTATAAAAAGTGAAATAGACTATAGTAAGCGATCCAGCTGTTTTAAAATTTGCATTCAGACAGTTGAAAAAAAACTCATACATTTTTAGAATCACAGTGACATTTCTCATAGGCTCTAGCTTTTATCGGACTGGCTTGCACATTGCTGCAAATTATGAAAAAAACTGCTGACCCACTTTTTCCAATCTTCAAGTCCTATCAACATTATAACTTGTTTTTTCCAACAATATTCAGCCTTTGCTGGCGAACAAGCATATTCAATTCTTCCTGTAGCTGATTTAATTTTTGACAGCAGTGCGCGATACCTAAAGAAAATAAACAATCTTTATTTGTGTTTAATTAGAGTGGAATACAGCACATATTGAATCAAGTCGAGCTAAATTGGTTTCCAGCTGAAATAGAAAAAAAATCACTAGCATATTCAAAGGAAGTCTCTTTTTTTAATCATGAAGGGTTTATGATTGAAAGGAATAAGGCATTTTTTCTCAGTCGCCTGAATTCCTTTTTTATTTCAGACGCAAATAGGACTCCAGTTACATGCATTCAATTTGAGCTAGCTAGGCTCGATTTCAGACTGGGAAATTTTGCTCAGCAAACCAACAGTTATGTGGCAGGATTTGGATCCGTATTTCCACAACTTTAAACTGTTCTTAACTTACTGGTTAATGTCCTCCAACAGGGAAGAAATGTCCGATTCCGTTCCGGGACCAGGCAACCAGGAACAGTCTCAACAGTCCCAAGATAACTCCTCCGAGCCTTCCACTACAACTAACCGGGAAAAAACATTCATCTGTCCGACATGCCTGAAAGGATTCCGGAGCAAGCAGCAATTGAACCAGCATAGCTTGGTCCACTCGGGAATCCGAAAGTATGAGTGCAGCTATTGCGACAAAGCCTTCAAGCAACTGTCTCATCTCCAGCAGCATCAGAGGATTCATACAGGTTGGTTCCTATCCCTTGTTTGGTTGTTGTAGCACTTTTTTCTAACTATTCCGTCCCGTGTCTCGATACGGGCATCATTTAGCATACCATAAATATCTGCACTTGATATTGATGTTGTTGTGTTTGTGCATGCAAGACTTTGATTGTTTTGTAATTTGATAATTTGTTGTCTCCCTTAAGCTGCTGTCAGTCTGTTGAGAAAGAAAACTTTCATGAATTCTTCCTATTCTAGAGATAATGGAGGATATATGTATATGTATACATGATGATGAAAGGAATACCTGTTTATTTATTTGTTTGTTGATTTTCTGTTTTTTCTAATGTATGTATTATTTTAGTGTAAGTTATCGTTTCCCATTACTTTGACATTTTACTTCAACTATTTGCATGTCCACAATTTATGGAATATTTCTGAGGACTTCTCCCGATTTACAGAGATGATTGATTGTCTGAGTCTCCAGGTTTTATTTTAATATTGATGTTTAGTAGAAATTATTGCATTTTAAGTACCTGTACAGAAATTTAAGTTATGAAAACAGCAGGTGCCTATTCTTTTTTTAAAGAGAATGACATTTGCTAATGCTTTCTGAAAGAAAATCAGTATTGATTTTAATATTTTATCAGAAATAAATTGTTTTGAAAATGGCTAATGTCATTTCATAACAGATTACAATCAATAAATTAAATGAATATGCTCCTTGTGCGACTACTTGCAGTGTAATTCTTGTCTTGTGCGGCAGTTTAATTCTCTTTATTTTTTAATTTTAAAAGTTTGAGTTTTGATAGATTTTGCTTGATATTTAAATAATAAGTCAAAGTCATCCTCACCTGTCTGAATGTTATTCCGAGGCTACTTACTTTCTGGATGTTTTGCTGCCAAACTCCTCATCCAGTTTTAACCCTCTGGATCATCGGCATCAGCCCCATCACCACCACTGTCGCCGCCACCACTACCAACAACAACAACACTACAATTCCCATCATCACCACCATCGTCACTACCACCACCCCCAACAACACCATAAACACCACCAACAACAATACCATCACCCCAACAACAGCATCACCCCAACACCAACACCATCATCAACAACATCACCACCACCACCATTGTCCATCACCATCACTATCATCCCCATCATCGTCAACACCATCATCAACATCACCACCACCACCTTTGTCCATCACCATCCCCATCATCGTCAACACCATCATCAACATCACCACCACCACCACCACCACCACCACCACCACCTTTGTCCATCACCATCCCCATCATCTTCAACACCACCATTGTCCATCACTATCGCCGTCATCCCCATCATCATCAACACCACCATCCCAAACATAACCACCACCACAACCCCAACATCGTCAACACCACCATCCCAAACATAACCACAACCCCATCATCGTCAACAGCACCATCCCAAACATAACCACCACCATCACCACCACCACCACCACCACCATCACCATCACCATCACCATCACCAACACCAACACCACCATTGTCCATCACTATCGCCGTCATCCCCATCATCGTCAACACCACCATCCCAAACATAACCACCACCACAACCCCATCATCATCAACATCATCATCACCATCATCCCCATCATCGTCAACACCACCATCCCAAACATAACCACAACCACAACCCCATCATCATCAACACTACCATCATCATCATCCCCATCATCGTCAACACCACCATCCCAAACATAACCACCACCACAACCCCATCATCATCAACACTACCATCATCATCATCCCCATCATCGTCAACACCACCATCCCAAACATAACCACAACCCGATCACCGTCAACACCACCATCCCAAACATAACCACCACCACAGCCCCATCATCATCAACACCACCATCACCATCATCCCCATCACCGTCAACACCACCATCCCAAACATCACCAGCATTGTCACATACTTGCAGTCAGCCCTAATCAGATTGTCCCTATGACATGGAGGCATGTTAGTCATGACACAGAAGTAATCCCCTCACATGTGAGATAGGTAATGAACACAATCTTCACTGAGAGTTCAAACTCATCAATCAAATATCAACCTCATAAATGACAGCGGGAGGGAGGGGGGAGGGGAGAGGGTTGCATCGCAGTGTAAAATGATGTGATGCATCATGCAGAGGTCCTTGTAAAGATTCAACAGAAGTCAAGAATTATGATTTGATATGTTCCAGTAGGATACTGTTTTATTCAGCCTAGTAACAAGCATGTGGTTAGCAAGAGTTGAAAATAAATCTTTTCCATGTGGTGCAGATTAGCACAGTGTAAGGTTTCCTAACATTCAAGCAAATTCCCACCCTGAACCTGAATCAAACAATCTTAAGGAGTTTGATAAAGCAGATTTTTGTTGTATAAGATAATGAATTTTCTATACATAGTTGTGTGTTATTTACTGATCAACTTACGATCTTGGAATGTGGCTAGCGATGTATGGTATTTATATTTAAGGGATGTTTAAATGATTCAGTTGAAATGGTTAAAAAATATGTATAATAATATCTATTTCCGGAATGGTTATTGACTAACATTGATGGAGGACTTTGCGGTATTCAGGGGGGCTCCAGTTATCTGAGGAGTTGCAGTTGCCAAGAAACCAGTGATCATGGGTTCGAATCCTGGTTTGCCCCAAAGATGTTTCTAGGTTTGTCAGCACCATAACTGTTCCCGTGGGTTTCACCAAAGTAGTAAACGTTTAAAACCTTCATCACTTTGCACTGTCCTCCCACCTCAACCGACATGCCGTGAAATAAGTGAAGTACAGTTCAAAGCGGCATTAAACTTGCCCACTCACTCATATAATTCCTTATCTCTCACCACAATCTCCATGCATCCAGTCAAGACATGTTTGGTAACAGGACATTTATCCGGACATTTCATCAGAATGTAGCTGCTGTGTTAAACATGTATGTAGTCATGGAATATTTATATTGCATGAATATGTCATGTATATATTCAATACCTTCACCAGATCACACATTTTTTTCAAATTTATCATGTTTGCTGGATGAGGGTTGTTTCGATAAGGAAAAGAAGACATGATAGGCAGAGCTGGAATGCCATCCAGTTTGGAATGGGTTGTCAGTGTGCAGCAACTTAATCTTATATCTGATACTGACAGGGGGGGGGGAGTCACCAGCTATTCATTATTTGGTTCCGCTATTTTTCAAGCGTTTTTTGCCACAGGCATTGATGGTCAGTGTCAGTCTTGCTTGCAGCCATCCATGCCACATGCAGCCATTGTGGTTATAGCATGGTGGGTGATATTGGGTTATAGTATGGTGGGCTATGGCATGGTGGGTTATATTGGGTTTTAGCATGGTGGGTTATTTGGGGTTATAGTATGGTGGATTATATTGGGTTATAGCATGGTGGGTTGTATTGGGTTATAGTATGGTGGGTTATAGCATGGTGGGTGATATTGGGTTATAGTATGGTGGGCAATGGCATGGCGTGTTATATTGGGTTATAGCATAGTGTGTTATTTGGGGTTATAGTTTGGTGGGTTATATTGGGTTATAACATGGTGGGTTATTTGGGGTTATGGTATGGTGGGTTATATTGGGTTATAGCATGGTAGGTTATTTGGGGTTATGGTATGGTGGGTCATATTGGATTATAGTATGGTGGGTTGTATTGGGTTATAACATGGTGGTTATATTGGGTTATAGTATTGTGGGTTATATTGTGTTATAGCATGGTGGGTTATATTGGGTAATAGTATGGTGGGTTGTATAGGGTTATAGCATGGTGGGTTATATTGGGGTTATGGTTATATTTAACAGGGGGGGGCTGTTGGATTTGGGGACTTAATTCGAACTTGAGGATCTTGTAGGTGATTTAAACTTTTGATTAACAATCTCACAGTATCTGTCTCTTCGGTATGTACCAGTTGTCAGACCATCCATCAAGATTGGTTTTTTGTTTGTAATGAGATCAAATTCCTTCTTTTACAATGGCATCTTTTGAAGGCAAGGGAGTTAACTGACATGGAGTAAGAAAAGTTCCCAAATGAGTGAGTGAGAATTGTTTTGCGCCGTTTTTAGCAATATTATAGCAATTTCACGGCAGGGGACACCAGAAATGGGCTTCATGTCGGGAATCGAACCCAGGTCTTCGGCGTGACAAGCAAATGCTTTAACCACAAGGCGACCCGACCACCCTGCCTCACCACCCAATCTATTTGGTGGCCTCTTACAACCAGCAGGTTTCTGGAGATCGATTCTAACGAAGCACCCTCTCATGGATCACATGTAGACAAGGATGTTGGTGAAATTCTGAATGTATCTCCCACAAAGGTACAGGAATGAAGGTGTCAGGGCTGAAATGAGTCCAAATTTACTACCCGAGTACCCAACCCCCCATTACCTGACCCTACCCAGGTGGCCACTGTAGATCTCAAGTTGGGTACAAAATGTCTGTTTGGGAATTGTTTTACTGAAGCCCTGGCAAAATCTATTTAGATACACTTATAAAATGATCTGATCATGCATACGCAGAAGTTGACTGAAGCTTTGTCTTTTCTCAAACATCAGAAGTCGGAAGGACTGCGTGCATCGTCAGAAGGATAAGCGACTTGTAATATAACCTTGGAATTGCATTGTATTATGTTTGTTTGTTTGTTTGTTGTTGAACACCGCACTCAGCAATATTCCAGCTATATGACGGCGGTCTGTAAATAATCAAGTCTGGACAAGACAATCCAGTGATTGATATTATCAGCATCAATCAACGCAATTGGGATACAGTGACATGCATCAACCAAGTCAGCGAGCATTGTATAAAACAATATATCACGTGACTAACCATGTGTGCAGGTGGTCCTGTGGATACCCGGGTCCTACTCAGGACCCACCCGACCCAAGTTCCCGAGTAACCCATCCCAGCCCTAAGAGTGTGTCCCTATCAGCACATTGCCATCTTTCCCTTTGAGCTGTGTGACCTGCTGATTTTTGTGTCTTCGTGCCAAATGATGTGGATTGTGGTTCTTGCTATCAACCACTGGTTTGTAAATGGAATAATGCTGACTGCATTTTAAAGCAATATGGACTGAAAAAAGGCAGCTGCACAGCCCACCATCCCATCCCTTCCCTCTGAATCAGCAATTGACTCTGATTGTAGGGATATATCGCACTATCAAACTATTGAAATTGTTTGCTCTACGAGCATAGGAATTTTAAAATGCCAATAGTATTGTCAGTAGTATGCATAACAATCTGTAGTTTGAATAGTAAGAATAAGTTATAAATGATACATATTTTAATCAAATTTCAAAGCTGTCAATGTGCACGTGGTTGGTCAGCAAGGATTGCGACTGCAGATTAGAGTTACTTCCCTTTTGTTTGAGCAGCAACAGGGAGGAAAATGGTCGTCTTTGAGATTGTCAGCACTTTATTCATTTTTTTTACTTTAATAAATGTAATTGTCAAGCCTTAAAGCTGGTTTACTACTATCCGAGGAGTGTGGGGTACATACTATTGCAATACAATCGCAGTAGTGAAAATAGCCTAAAACGTCAACCCTACCAGTGACCCTACATGCAAGCACCAGTGCAGTACGTGATAGTCAGGAAAAACCATCTCAGACTGAGGACATGCACACACCATTTACCATCTACTGTTTGCTGCTTCTGCATCCTAAAGGTGAAGATTCAGTGGGGCAGAAAGTAATTACAAGAGAATGTGTAACCCAACAGCTTTCACTCAATTGTGTCGAGCAACTGCTGTTTCAAATAAAATCAAAAGAATTCAGGTATCCAGATGTAGATATTGATACTTTTCAGAGTCCCGTGTTTTCACTGGCCACAGCTGTACAGGGTTATCTACCTTAGCTGGGCCAGGATCTGCTGGTCAGGGTTTTAATATCCAGATTCTCTCCAGTTTCGATACCTGCAAATACCTGTTGGTTTCATCAAGGTGGAAACAGTATGGCTAACTGCAAAACAATTCAAATTCAGAACTAGACTCAGGTAGCAACAAAAATCTATTTCAAATTGGAAACTTTGTTATTTTCAGCGTTTCAACTTTTCCAATCAGTAATGA